TATGAAATCTCCCAACTCTGACACAAGTAAAACAGGTGTGAACAAAGCTGACGTACATAAAGGTACATCCTCTATTTTTGCTGTTTGCTGTGGCTGATTTTTTTATTACTTCTGTTGGCTTTTCTATTTTTTTTTGGCATGTTGTTCACTTCTTTCTTCAACATACATGTAGGATTGACATACATTTAATGAAGAATATCTAAAGGAATATAATTAAAATATATTGTAAGACCATTATCTAATAGTCTGAGTTTGTAAAAGTTTGATAAACCAGAGGAAAGTCTCAGTTTTTTGTTCATATAATGTATGTCAGTCTCTGGAGTTTCATTACGATGTTTTATTTCTCATGATTTTGAGTTTGAATTGTTATTAATCATATTTTAACAAAATGACTTAAAAAGGGAAAATATTAAAGAATTGTTTTTCTTGGATAAAATCACATTTAATTGGAGTGTTTTCGCCTTGCAAAGTTAAGATGAGAATGTTTTTTTATAAAAGCTTATCATAAACACTGTGATGCCTTAATTTTAGATGTATTTTTGTTGTAGGACGAGCTCATCGGAGTGGAAGCTGTGACTCTGAAGACTTGATCCCGCTGGAGCCCCTTGACCTAGTTTGGGCTAAGTGTCGAGGATACCCTTGGTACCCAGCATTGGTGAGTCCTGAAACAGCTTGATTGGTCACCGTTTTCCTATTTGCTTTAGAATGATCTGAAATTATAAATAGTGATAGTCGTATTATAACAAATGCATATTATGTTAAGGCAAGTTAATCATGTAGGTAATGATTTGTTTTGGTTGCAGATAATTAATCCCAAAATGCCAAAAACTGGTTACTTTCACAATGGTGTACCAATACCGGTTCCTCCTGATGATGTACTGGCTCTACAGAGAAAGTATGATGAGCCAGTCTACCTCATCCTGTTCTTTGACACTAAACGCACATGGTATGGTAACCTTTCAAAAAGTATATAGCATAGAAATATGAGTCTTGTCAGTAATTTATATTTATGCAGTGAGCTGAAACAAAGTACATGAATAGATATTACTTTGTGAAGATATACACTGGTTATATTTGCTAAAAGAAATGCTAAGACATGGTTTTCTACTTATCACAGGCAGTGGCTACCAAGGAATAAGTTGGAACCACTAGGAGTGGACTCAGGGTTGGATAAGGCTAAATTATTAGAGAACAAAAAACCCAACGTCAGGAAAGCTGTCCAGAAGGCTTACGAAAAGGCGATTCTCCACAGATGTAGTGTCACAGGAGAACCCAATCCCCTGTCTGGGGACTCAGAGCTAGAGGATCAGGACTAGGGAGGAACAACAGCGGACAGGTGGGAAGACAAGCTTTGACATGGAGTTCACTAGTTTTTCACACCAAAGTATGAGCAGGCATACAGTTTTATGCTACTCTTTCTTGGACATTTCAAAATGGTGGAGTTGTGAAAAGGCTAGGAATGCCATGTCTGGTTGCGGATAGACAGAGGAGACAAGATTCTCACTTTTGTTTTAAGAAGCTACATGTAGATTCTGATTTTATATTAGAGCTTGAAATCTGAATGTTTGCACTTCTTTGGGGATGAGTTTAGGGTATATTTATCATTCAATAGCTAACTGTTTCAGTAGCTGTAGTTTTCAGTGCAATGTATATGTAATGAATTGGAATTACTGAAGGAAACCTAGCGCTTTTATATGAATTTGCAAATTGAAATCCTCCATAAAAATGGAATTTAATTCTTTTGTCATTAAATGACATGAACAATTAGAGTATAAACATTTACAAATTTAAATGAACAAATTATTCTATGAACACCATATGAAAAAGAAAAAGTACTTGCATGTTCATTTTATAGAGAATCTAAGAAATATTATTTATTGTACTGGATGATGTAGAGAATTTTTAACTGAATGTGAGAAGATTGTATGTTTGATAGTCGGTACTAGGCCCCCTGCCTCATAGAACAAAATTACAAGGGCATCACACTAAATGGAAAGTGTATTAGCTAAAGAGATATAAATTTGATCATTGTAATGTATGCCATCTGATATATGTTTTACTAGGCAACAAGGTTTTGTCCATTCAGTTGTTACTATTTATTGTTTATAAGTCATTTGTTTTGGTGTTAAGAACTTCATTATGTATTTCTGTTGTTATTGATGGTTCTAAGTATGTACATGTGTGTCCAAATTATATAACAGATTTTATTGGATCAAATGTTATATGTACGTCTTAATTGTCACTGATGCCTCATTCATATGCAGATTAATTTTTAAGTTTTTCTTGAATATTTGGAGTATGTGTTTCATTTTTTTAAAAATAGAATTCTGGGTAACAAGGAATAACCCTTGTACTATAAATACAAGCAATGCCAGATTTTTGTGAATTACTGCCATATTTAATTTCCATTTCCAGCAGCATTTCCTCATTATTTTATTCAAACATATTTTTAATGAAAATGAACTTGTGTTTTGTACAGAGAATAAATTGTATGAATTATTTTACTTGTGTTGCATTATTGATGGACTTGATAGTTTTGAACATGTATTGTAAAGGTCCAGAACTTTACACACACTGTTCTTGTTTATTTACTAGGGAATGACATGCCAATCACTAGTGGTGGTGTTGTATAATGTAATGTGATCAAAAAAGAGAGAGAGAGAGAGAGGAGGGGTAGGTGGGGTGGGATTATTGTGTGAAGTTGGCAGCAAAGTAGATCTTTCAATATTTTCCAAAACATGGCTTTGCTGTTCTTGAGAAATATTTCCTACACATCCACATGCTAAACTCTGATAGTGCATTGTGGCCCCATCCTACCTAAGGGGGTCATGATTTGAACAAACTTGAATCTAAACATCTGAGGATGTTTTCACATCAATATGACTAAACATGGCTTTGCTGTTCTTGTTGTAACAGGGGTTTGTGTAAATAAACAAGCACGCCTCTGTCAGGTTCAGGTCTATTTTATTGACACAGTGAGCAGTATATATTAACATAGCCCTGAAATATAATAAAACAACAATATTATATCACATCAAATCAATCCTATTAATGCATCATTTATACATACATCTAGCTCTCATAGATAACATATTGATAATGATATATTATAGACAAGATGTATCTTTATATGTACATTGACTCTCAATAAAGGGAGATAACTCTTACAACTGATACATAGACTTTACATATTTTCTCCCATATAAAGGCATAAAAAATATTACTAATTAAAACAAATAGTTCCTCACCATTCTGTGGGAAAAGGCTTTAATTACCACATGTATGTATGATGTCATAAACATGTATATGGATTCTGTAATTTAATACAGTATACATTAAAATATATATATTCCATTAAAATAAAAAAAATCATCTGTTCACTTTGAACAAAGTAACCAAATATCTTGGTCATAAAATATATAGTGTAATTTGAACATAACAATTTACACTTTCAATATATAACATTACTGATCTTCAAAATCAATAATTCCAATCATAAAAATAAATATCTTTCTCTCATGGTCATTCATTCTATTAATATAAAGTGTAGAAGGGATTTATTATAATTGCATATTTACAGACTGCACAAGTTAATTAACTATTAGCAATAAAGAAAAGTTAGTACTTACTAAAAGTGGAAAAAAAGTCAGTCTCCAAGTCAAGGTCATGAGAGAGTCCATAAAATGAAGTCTTGGTAATCTCTCAACAAGACAAAGAATGAATATTTTGGCGGTAAAACCAATGACCAAAAGAATAAAACCAATGAGATCCAACTTTATAAACAAACTACCAATGAAAACCAATAAAACACCAAAACCTCTGACCTGCCCTAAGGTAACTAATTATTTATATACAGGTGTACAAGTTTACAGGTAGGGCTAGGGAAATAAAGGGGTGGATCCAACATTTTATCTATTATGGTAGTTTAATTTATTTACATTTAATTTAAAACATTTATTAAATAAATATATTCCACACTACTACAACCTCCCCCTGGTTGCAGAATGACGTCCACGTCATTCAACGGTGAAGTTTACGGCATAAAATAACAGATATGTACAAATATTAAAAACACATTACTGAGATGATGACACAATATTTAAAAGAGTCGTCTGGCACAAATTAGAGTCCACACTCTGTAATAATCCATCCTTCATCATCTCTTTTACAAAGTTGGCTCTACGTAGCCAGTCTGGTTCTGGTTGACCTTGTGTCATCATAATATAGTCCTTGGTCCATTCTGGAACCTTTCTTTGTCTTGCCGACTTCCGCGGAGCAGGAACTGGGTTATCTTGATTTGGTTCATCTTCATCTATAAAAGGCTGATTATCGTCTGCTTCTTCAACAACTTCATCTTCTACTACTTCATCTTCTTCTTCAACCTCACCCTCAGTCTGATTCGCAGGCTCCTGCTGCTGAAGAGCGTCCTCTTCTGAACCAGGTGCTGAAGCTTCTCCGGTCGAAGAAAGGTCGTCACCTTCTTGACAGGAGGTCTTTGTTAGTAAATTCTCGGACACTATAGGGTTACCTATAAATGAGAATTCACTGTCAGTATCTGAAATATAAAGAGAATCACTTGTATTAATATTTACAGTTTCTTCTCTTTTCTCCGCCTTCCTTCTTTGTCTAGGTTTGGGTACTGGAGGTAAAGAGGATGTAAACTTGGATCCTATTGGTAATAATAGGTTGCGGTGTAAAACTCTACATCGTCCTTCGCCATCCTCTCGCCTCACCTTGAAAACAGGAATGTCCTTGTTTGGTTGGGATAGAATCTCATATGGTACATCTTCCCATTTGTCTGATATTTTGTGCTTGCCATCATAAGCCACAATTTTGACGAGCACTCTATCTCCAACATTCAATGTGGCTGCTCTGGCTCTTATGTCGTAGTTGGATTTTTGTCTTAGCTGAGAAGATTTTATAGCTGTCTGTGCTTGCTTATATGCTTCTTGCAATCTTTTTCTCATCTGGGCAATATATTTGCTAGTACATTTGTCTTCATCATAGGATTTTGACAGTCCAAAAATTACATCAACAGGCAACTTCGGTTCTCTCCCGAACATCAAGAAAAATGGTGTAAATCCTGTTGTGTCATTTATGGTAGAATTGTATGCATGTACCAGGCTATTGATGTGTCGCTTCCAATCAGCTTTCTGGTAGTTCTCTAGTGTTCCTAACATGGACAACAATGTTCTGTTAAATCTCTCGGTTATTCCGTTTCCCATTGGATGGTATGGAGTGGTCCTGGATTTGGAAATACCTAAAAGTAAACATAATTCTTTAATAATATTGCTACAAAAATTTGTACCTTGATCAGAGTGAAGTTTCTCAGGAATTCCATAATGAATGATGAAATTGTTGAAGATGGCCTCTGCTGTTGTCCTAGCTGTCTGGTTTCTTGTTGCAACTGCAATAGAAAATTTAGTAAAATGATCTGTAATAACTAAAATGTTCTGGATTCCTCCTTTTGATGGTTCCAATGTAAGATAGTCCATGCATACTAACTCTAATGGCTGAGATGTAGTGATGTTTACTAGCTCTGTCTTCTCAGCTGGCCTCTTACTCTTGATGCATCTCTCACAATTCTCAATCCAAGTTGTTACATCCTTTTGCATTCTCGGCCAATAAAACCTTTGTCGTACCAATGATAAAGTCTTATCACGGCCTAGGTGTCCCATCTTATTGTGGAGATACTTCACTACTGTTGGAATAGATGAGGCTGGAATGATGTGCTGTTCTAACGTGTTTCCCTCATTTCTAACTTCTCGTATCAATATTCCATCCTTTATCTTTAGTTTTGAAAAATTCCGATGAAAAATAAGGTCACTTTCAGTCTGGAGCGAGTTCTTACTAGGTTTTACTCCTTTGAGGACTTGCTGTTTCCAATAAGAAATAGTAGTGTCATCATCTTGTAATGAAACAATATCAAAATGCTCTCCAGGTTCACTGACAGGTTGCATAAACTGGCATATCTCTTCATCTACACATAATGTCTCTGCATAAGGTTGACCTATCTGGCATATGGCTTTGATGGACTCTGAAGAAATAGTTTCAGTTTCCTTGAGTCTAGATAAGCTGTCAGCATCTATGTTGGTTTTTCCAGGTTTGTAAAGAATTTTAAAGTTGTAACTAGCCAAAGAAGAAATCCATCTGTGTCCTGTAGCATCCAGTTTAGCGCTGCTTAAAACATAAGTAAGGGGATTGTTATCGGTGTAAACGGTGAAGTCTTTTCCTTGAAGATAGTCTGCAAATTTCTCAGTGACTGCCCATTTCAGCGCCAGAAACTCAAGTTTGTGTGTAGGATAATTCTTCTCTGAGCGGCTTAATCCGCGACTGGCATAGGCGATGACTCTATCTGACCCACTTTGAGTTTGGTATAAAACTGCGCCTAATCCTGTTTGGCATGCATCTGTATGCAGTTTGAATGGTTGGCTGAAGTCTGGATAGGCTAAGATGGGTGGTGATGTCAGTTTCTCTTTGAGGATGTCAAATGCCGTTTGTTGTTCCTGATTCCATTTCCACTTGGAATCTGCCTTTTGCTTACTGTTGCTTCTGGGTTTCTTACCAACAGCCATTACATCAATGAGTGGTCTAGCAACCTTAGCGAAGTCTTTGATGAATTTCCTATAGTATCCGGCAAAACCTAAAAATTGTCTAACCTGTTCAGAATTAGTAGGTACTGGCCAGTTTTTGACTTTGGAAATTTTATCTGGGTCTGGCTCAACCCCATCCTTTGAGACAATATGTCCTACATACTTGACTCTGCTCATGAAAAAAGAACATTTTTTAGGAGAAAGTTTAAGACCATAATTTCGAATACGTTGGAAAACCTGTTGGAGTCGGTCAAGGTGTTGTCTGAAAGAAGAAGAAAAAATAATTAAATCATCTAAATAAATAAAACAAATTTTGAGATGTAAGTCGCCTAAACATTCTTCTTGTAGACGTTGATACGTGGCTGGGGCGTTTGCTAAACCGAAACTCATCTTGTTGAATTCATAGAATCCCAGAGGTCCTACTGTAAATGCGGTTCTCTCTTTATGATGTTCCTCAATCTCGATCTGATGGTAGCCGGACTTCATATCAAGGACGCTGAAGTAGGTATTACCAGAGAGAGAATCCAAAATTTCCTCAATCCTTGGTAATGCATAATTGTCCTTTATGGTCCGAGAGTTGAGTTGTCTATAATCAATGCAAAGGCGTAGTGAACCATCGCTTTTACGAACTAAGACCACATTTGATGAGAAAGGAGAATGAGATGGTCTAATTATCCCAGCAGCCAAGAGATCCTTGATATGGGACCGCACTTCCTCTATCATGGCTGGTGGTATTCTCCGGTATTTCTGTTTAAATGGCGTCTCATCAGATAATTCAATCCGGTGCTTTACTTTATCCGTTGTTCCTATGTCTAAATCGCCAGTTGAAAAGATGTCTTGATAGGATTCTATTAATTCTCTGCAAGCCTGTCTTTCTTCTTCAGTGATGTCATCTGGTAAATGAATC